CACAATGTATGTGTATTTGTAGAATATATGTTACAGATATCGGATAAATTAAAAGTTTTAAAATTTCGATGCAAAGCAAATGAGACAGGGTGTCTAAGTATGCATTTGAACAAGACATTTTTACACAATAATGTAATATGCTACGACGGGACGTAGGAATTAATTGCGTGGCTATTATGCAGAGAAAAAAGAAGGGCCATGTAAAAATCTTATAAAACAGCAGTTGGTAAAAGAATTGAAAGTTAGTTACGGATGTAATTGAAAGAGCAAATAGGGAAGAAAGGTGAAACGATGATCTTTTTGTAATATTGATATTTGTATGTGTATGCTACTAAAGAGAGGAAGAAGTTCAGAAAGAGAAAAAAAGTGTGAGTGGACACAGAGCGTCAGAAAAGGATAGGTCGTACGAAAAATAGATGTAATTTACATTGTATATGTTACGTTGCCATTAAATTCTCATTATTTACATAAATTTTGACGATATGTTATTGCACTTGTATGAATCTTTCTATGATGTTTCTAATAAAGTCAGACAGTTTTAATTTCAAATAGGATATACGTTAGAAGAAATCAAAATACTTTATTGTTTCTCTCTTAAGCTTAATTGCTGATGACGCTCATCGACCTTGCTTGAACCTTTTCAAACATGGTCAACAGTAACAGACAACGTAGTCACGCATCGTGGATAAATACATTTCTTCAAATTAGCTATATCTTTATGTTTTTCCATTACCACCATTTCGACATTTTACCATCCCCACCAACATATATTAACCGATAGAAGTACAAACATTTCTTACATCCCAGCATTTCGTATACTCAAAGCATCAGAGAACGTTCGGCTTCCAAACATTAAACATCGCGTAAAGTATTATTACAGTTAATTATGTCTCCTAGCAATTAACGTCAATTTACGAACGAGCATTTGAATATGATGTGTAAGGGGCAAAGTATATCCAACATCTCGATTGTGAGTTATAACACATTTTAAAATAATTGTTTATTTAGATTTTTAGGTTACATATTTTAGTATGTTTATCTTACAAATTATAGTTCACATCAAAATTGAGCAGTAATTAATTGTCTTGTCATTATTTGTGTAATCAATTATTGGAAGTACACATAATTAAAATCGTTAATCAACTAATTCTTTGTAGAATAAATAAATAATCATGATTTAGTAA